GCTGAATCAAACGCAAAACTTGATACATGCTAGGCAATGTCTGGATGACTTTATATTCTTAGCTCTCATGAGAAGCTTTAATACAATTGGCCAAAACCATACTCTTCTATCTGGCCTCTCCCGTGTTATGCTTAGGAAGTAGAGAAAAACTGATTTTTCTGCTAATATCAGTACTCCTTGGCTGAACATGAGCTTTTTCACTAGAGAACTGGAATAGTACAATTCACAAACGCCTTTTTCCTTCAAAGAATTTAAAAAAAAATGTATCAGAAAAATATCATTGTCACAATCCAACAAAAGATGAGAGAGACAAAACGAAAAGCTTGGGACAGACGTCTTGGTAAAGCGCTTTGGAGGAACAGAACTGCACAAGTTTTAACAACTCCAACATCTGGCTGCCATTCCAGGCTACTTCTTCCCAACCTCCTCAAATTGAGGAAGGTGATATTTGATGCATTCTTGGCCTAACGGTGCTGGCATGAAATCAAGAATGGAAGCGCACGTCTCTACCAGGTAATGAAACCCTGATTAGCACACCACACAAATGCCATCTCACCCCATTCCTACTGCCATCGAAGTCCCTCACAGGCCTTTTCCCACAAAGCACCCCTAGCTCACCTGTCTCCATTTCGGAACCTTTCCTTCCCCTTTCTCAGTAAGGAAATTCAACACTAACTCCAGGAGTCAGACTCTCCCACTACGCCCCAAATGACACTTCTTTGGCCTGGCCTGGTCCCCCGGTCCAACTGTGATGATGTTCTGTCCTTCTGCATCTCCAGAGCACGCCTATCGCACCCCACCATCCTCCCCCTACTGTTTCCACCCCAAGTTTCCTGGGTACGTCTACGGCTGGCCAACCTCCTTCCCCTTACCTCCCCACTACTCCTCCTCTTCCACCTCACCCGCGTCCCTTGCCCCCAATCCCATCCCGTCCCCGCCCGCCCACAGTCGCCATCTTCCCGCGCGACCCCGCGCTCCCCGGCCCGCGCGCTCACCGTTCTGGCGGCGAGGCCCGTGCGCTTGTCCCACAGGAAGTCCGTGATGGCGGCGGCACTGCGGCCGGAGTCCCGGCACCCTCGCGGCGACGAAGTGCGGCTCCAACCCCCCAACCCGGGACCCTGGGCCCTCCCGCCCCGTTCCCGGGCTCTGCTCCAGTCCCGCCCGCCCCGGCTCCGTCCCCGCTCCCAGGATCCGCTGGGCGCCGCTCGCACCGCCCCCGCCCGGGGCCCGATCCCAGCTCGGTCTCCGGCTCCGGCCTCTCCGCTCCGCCGCCGCCGCCGTGAGCGAGCACGTACGCACGCGCGTACGTCTTGCGTCGCCTCCCAGCTGCCCGTGGGCTCCGCCCCCAGGGCCGCGCGCGCCACCACGTGCTTAGTAGTTCTTGGGCGTGGGCAAGGCCGGCCCAGCCCCGAGGTGCTTAATACGGAAGTTCGCGGGATGCTCCGCCTCCTGTCCTTTACCTTCGTTTCTAGCGCTAGTATTTTTCCTATAGTTATCTGTGGCTTGCTCAACTTTGAAGACTTAGAAGAAAGGAGAAAAAGTATCACAAAGTTTTGTTGTTCGTCACATGCAACTCTGGTTAATGAAACTTAGTGGTTAGGTTTGATTTGTAGCATAGCCTGAAAATAGCCTTTTGGGTTTTTTTTCTTTTTTGGTACTGGTGATCGAACTTGGGAGCTTACATTTGCCATACCTCTGAGCTATCTCCTTGCACTCCCCGCCACAGTTCTTTAAAAAAAAAAAAAAAAAAAAAGTTCATCTACCTAAGCCCAGCAAGAAAAGTTTCCTACCTTTCATTTTGATTTAAAGTTATGCATGTGTGATGGGTGTATAGCTGGAGAGGTCAGGGGAGAACTGAGTACTGAAGGAGGAGAATGACTTAAAAGAATCTTTTTTTTTTTCTTTTTTTTTTTTTCTTTTTTGGACGTTTTTGAGACAGGGTTTCACTGTGCAGTTCAGGCTGGCATTGAACTCACTTTGTAGCCCAGACCGGCCTCAAATTCCAAGCACACTCCTGTCTCAGCCTCCCAGTGTGGGATTACAGGAATGTGCTACCACGCCCAGCTTGTTACTAATATTCTTACCAGGGCAAAAGGAGAGGAGGAAAAAATAAAAAATAAATAAATAAAATATAAATAAATAAAATTTTTTAAAAAGGAGAGGAGGGAGAATTGGAAAGGAAACAAAATAACCAGAAGATAACAAATGGAAACAAAATAACCTCAAGATAACAAAAGAAAACTGGAAGGGAAACAACTTGAAGGTGCAGGCATTATGCCCACACAAGAATTCCAGCACTCAGGATGCTGAGGCAGGAGGACCCTTGTAAGTTCGAAACCAGCCTGAGATACAAAGTGAGCTTATGGCCAGCCTGAGCTGCATAGTGAGACCCTGTCTCAAAAAAAGAAAAAAAAAGAAAAAAGAAAGAAAGAGAGAAAGAAAGAGAGAAAGAAAGAAGAGAAAGCTACAACTATGTTTCTTATTTATTTATTTATTTGGAAAGGGTCTGCAGGGTGTTCAGAGTCTCACTAGTAGATTGGACTCGCAGTGGTCTGCCTGTTTACAGCCTGCCAAGAGCTGAGATTACAGGTGCACCACCACACCCATTCTCAATTGCCACCTCTGCCCCGGGCCACACAGCAGGCCCAGGGATCAAACCCCCAGGTCCTGCGCGCAGGCACTTCAATCCACTGAGCTGAACCCATCTTTCTTTTCTTTTTTTTTCTTTTAAACATTTATTTATTTATTTTGTGTGTGTGTGGCCAGCTCAGCCCACCTGGGGGCGGGGCTGGCTGGCATGTGGTGCTGGGGGATTGAACCGCGGTCTCTGTACTTTGCCAAGCTTGTTCCAAGTAGGTGCTTTAGACCACTGAGCCATCTCGCCAGCCCCCATCTTTCTTTTTTAAATATGTTGAATACAGGGTCTACAGGGTCGACAGGGTCTCACTACACAGATCAGACTAGTAGTGATCCTCCTGTTTGCACTGGGATCTGGGAATAGAACTCCAGGCCCCTGCGCTGCCTGTGCAGGCTCATTTAATCCACTGAGTTATCTGTACACAACTTTTTTTTTTTTCTTTTTGGTGGAACTAGGGATTGAACTCAAGCCTTTGAGCTTGCCAGGGAAGCGCTTATTCCACTGAGCCATCTCCCCGGCCCCACACTGAGCTACCTGGCCAGCCCTTACAACTGTGTTTCTAGAGGAGATGAGGTCTGAGACAGCTGTTGGACAGTGAATTGAAAAATGCCAGGTAGAAAAAAATTTAGTATTTGTGAATCTCAGCATTGCATCCTCAGCTTTCCTAAGTTGGGTCATCAGCAGAGAGCTATTAAAACTAGGTCCAAATTTTGTAGTGCCTTAGTTTGTTATGGTAAAGGATTTAAATGTTTGATTGTATGTTCCAGACAGGGTCATGCAATGTAGTTCAGGCTGACCTTGAACTCACTATGTAGCGTAGGCTGGCCTCAAATGCATGGCAATCCTCCTGCTTCAGCCTTCCAAGTGATAGGATTACACAACTACACCTGGCTTGGAGTTTAAATATGATTTTATGGAGAATTTTGAGGGACTTTACACAAGTAATATGGGTACATTTGGATTTTCTTTTTCATTGAGTTTTTATTAGTTATATTCAGGGTTCCAAGAAAGGACTATGGTATACCCAGGTCCCTCTTTACCACTGAGGAAAAGGACAGAAAAGCAGAGTGGATACAGTTCAGATCTCTCATCCCAGGCTGAGGCCCAGGGCATGGGGCAAAAGGACCTGTACAGGTGCTGGTACCAGTAGTACACAGACATACCACCCCCTTTGTGATCATTGCCTTCCGGCAAAGATGAGAGTCCAGGTAGTTGTGCCAGCAGTGCCTGGTCTGCTTCCAGGTGAGGAAGCGGTTGTCAAAAGGAATAGTCTTTTGACAGTTCTTGATTTTGGTCTCATCTTCTGCACTCTAGTGCTGACTCCTGAAGAGGACCCTGAAGCAACATAACCTCAGCAAAAATCTCAGTGTCAGGCAGGAAGCTGAATTAGGAAACTGGGAGAGTGTGAACAGAGTTGAAACTGGTGCATTGCCTATAATCCTAGCATTTGGGATACTGAGACAGGAGGATCTCAAGTCTGAGGCCAGTCTGGAGAAATTACAGAGACCCTGCGTCAAAATAAAATATAAAAAGGCTAGGAATGTGGTTCACTGGAGCATCCTATTATCTTAAAAAATGGGTCTGGGGGAACTCAAAGGCGTCTCTAAAATAATTTAAGTGGAAAAAGTGCTGAGGGCTTGAAATAGCGAAGTGACAGTAAGAAACCGAGAGGAAGAGAGGAATTCGGCATTTTTCCGAATGTCTAGCGTTTAACATACCATAACACCCTAAATGCCTGTTCTTTGTTTGTCCTCGGGCACAGATGGGCAGCGGCTGGAAGGCTAGGGCTTTCGTACCCTGCCTGTGTGCGCAGGGCCCACGCGGTGGGGGACGGCGTCGCCTTTGGTGAAAGCTGGAGGGCGCATTAGGAGTGTGCTGGCCTTAGCGAGTGGCTTAGAAGGGAGGATGAGAGGAAATTGGGACAGAAGACCGTAAGCCCCCAACCCCTCACCTTCCTCGGAGCTGCACAACCCGGGCGGGTCTTCCCGCCACTTGCCGGCGGCCCCACCTCCCGACTCTCAGTGGGTAGAGCCCGACAGCTCTAGGCCTCTCCTTCGCGCCCCCGACTGCTCCTCGGCTGTCCCCGGGCCGCGAGGCCACACCCACTAGAGGCCACACCCACCTCGGAGTCCCCGGCACCACCACCCGGGTCTGCGCGCGGCCCCGCCAGGGGGCGCAGTGTCGCGAGCAGCACTCCCGCCCGCCAGTCTGTCGCACACACCCCCTCCGCCCAGCGCGCCGGCAGTTCCAGCCAGCGAGGAGAGGCTCCCAGCGCCGGGCTGCGCCCGCTCCCAGCGCCAAGGGTCGGGCCCAGATGGCCACAGCGGGGTCCTGCAGGCCGGGCGTGTAGGCGGCAGGCGTTATGGAGGCGGAGCAGCGGCCAGCCGCTGGGGTCGGCGAGGGGACGACCCCTGGCGTGGAGGCGGTGCCTCCCGCGGCTCCCACGCCGACTGCCGCGGCCTCGGGTCAGACCCTGGGGTCCGCGCCCGAGCCGAAGAGGAGGCCGCTCGGGACCCTGCTGCAGCCCACGGTCAACAAGTTCTCGCTTCGGGTGTTCGGCAGCCACAAAGCAGTGGAAATCGAGCAAGAGCGCGTGAAGTCGGCGGGGGCCTGGATCATCCACCCCTACAGCGACTTCCGGTACTGGGGGCCGGCAGGGTGAGGGGACACTGATCCCACCCCACGGGCAGCGACGCGGGTCCAAGCCCGTCCCACACTCCGTTGCCACCCAGGTGTCCCGGGTGAGGCAGGAGTCACCTCCCCCGACCCAGCCCGGGAATTCCTGAGCAGGATATCCCCGGCCACAGGTCCAACATGACTTGTCAGACTGGGCGCCCGAGGGATTTCCAGAGACCACAATTTCTCGTGCAAGCAACCCAGGACCCCTCTGGACCAGGGACTACCCGAGTCGGGAGCCCCTGCCTCTTGCAGTCCGGATTGTTGGCATCTGTGAAATTATATCGCACCCCAAGCATCAGGGTCAGCCTGAGGTGGAAGCCTAGCTCGTTCTGTCCCACTGTCACCCTTAGCACCTGCCTGGTTCAGCCAGACAGGTGGGCCGGAAAAATAAGGACGGCAGAGACCGCAGCTCGGTTGCTGTCCCTGGTGCTGAAGGCGGGGCGCGGCGGGGCGGGGCCGGTTCCCAGCACTGAGGCCCAACGCGACCACCGCCCCAAAGCCCGGTGACTCCCGGAGGAGAGGAAGGGAGAGTGGGGGTGGGGCCGTTTCACGGTCCCCATCTGGCTGTACCTCTTCATCAAGGTCGCTAGGGGAGGAGAGCAGCCCTGTCCTTGGGGGAAATGAAGGACAGCTTTTGGAGGAGGTGGAGGTGTATGCATGGGAAAGAAAAGCAGCAGGACGAAGCGTATGAGTCTGGAGGCTGGAAATGCAATCGGAGATCAGACATTATCTTCAATCCAGACAAGCCCTCTCCCGAAATGTTCCTCCTCTTCCCATTGTTTCTTGATTCTCATGCCTCACTCCCCGCCTCACGAACCTTTTCTGGTCTCCGGTGGTGCTCCCTCCCTCTGTGCGGTTCACATCCTCAGAAGCTGTGCGCCCCTTAGGATGCGCTTCTTCCCCATCCCCTCTCCCTCATCACCCGCTGGGCTTGTGACCGCCCGTGAGTCAGGCTGTGAAGATGCTCTGCTGGTTAGGCAAACCCTTTTTCCCTCCCTCTCCCAGTGTCTCACAGCTCAGGATTTCTCCTCAGCAGCCCGGGGGTGGGGTGGGGGGGAAGCAAGGGTTTGTTGTTGAATGAAAGCTCACAGTCTGAGAGGATTCCTGGAGCCTGGACTTGGGAACCACCAAGAGCCTTTGAGGGGCTAAAAAAAAAAATCATTTGGCAAGCCGTCAAGAGGGGCTGTATCCTGGGCTTATGTTGGGATTAGATGTGCCCTAGAATTAAAATCACTGTAGGAAATTGAGTCCCTCAGATTATCCAGTGGTTTTGTCCAAATGAGGCTTCCCCCAGCTCTCTCCTGACCTCTTATTTGCACAGCTTCTGCACAGCAATGTAGTCTCCCCTGCGCATGTCCTTGCTTGGCTCCGCTAGAGTCCAGCGAGCACAGGGAGGTCAGAGAAGGAAAAGAACGCCGGGCTGGAACTGTGCAGCCTCAGGATCCCTTATGGCTCCTCTATGTGTGCAGCACCCACCCCAAAGGCCCCGAACTGAGGGAAATTCTTGGAAAGCTCACTTCAGACAAGAGGCAGGGAAAATCCTGGGACAGGGATCAGCAGGTTTTCATGGAGAAACAGGATCCATGGGGCCAACTGTGCTGGCGAGGAAAAATGGGGTGGGGAAGGCAAGTAGTACATGAAGTCCTAGACAAGGAAGGGCAAAGAGCTGGAGATGAGAGAAGCAGCAACCTTTTCAGAGGTCTGCAAGTAAAGAGTGGGTGAGTCATGGCACCAACCAGCTCTTGTACAACATTGTCACATCCACTGTCTTGGTGGAAATTTTTTCCAACAACCCTGTGAAATTAGCCCAGAATACTTTATCCTTAAATTTTTTTTTTAATTTTATTCATTTATTTATGTGGGGGGGGCAGCTCAGTTCACTAGGGGGCGCGGCTGGCTGGCATGTGGTGCTGGGGGATTGAACCGTGGTCCCTGTGCTCTGCCAAGCTTGTTCTAAGTAGGTGCTTTAGACCACTGAGCCATTTCACCAGCCCCTATCCTTAAATTTTTAAAAATGTTAGATAATGATGCATAAATATTATCATTGTAATGATCATGTAACAGCTATCTGTATTGCTAAATTGCTGAACTGTCTGGGCTGGGCTCAAACTTGGGATCCTAGTGCCTCACACTCCCACAGTGCTGGCCTTACAGGCATGTGTCACCACACAGTTCACTTGTCTGTGTAGTTTTTTTTTTTTTTTTTTTTTTTTCAGAACCAGGGATTGAACTCAGGTCTTTGCACTTGCCAGGGAAGCGCTTATTCTACTGAGCCATCTCCCTGGCCCGTCTGTGTAGTTTTAAAAAAAAATCTTTTACTTATTTATTTATTTAGTACAGGGTCTAACTAAATAAATAATAGAGTCTATTTAGTAGTGATCCTCCTGTCTCAGTCTCCCCAGTGCTGGGATTATAGGCATGTACCACCATGCCTGGCTTCAGTGGCTGGCACAGCATGTAGTACTAGAGACTGAATCCAGGTCCTTGCACTTGCCAGGCAGGTGCTCAGACCACTGAGCTAACTCCCCAGACCTTTCTTTCTTTCTTTTTTTTTTTGTGGTACCCAGGATTGAACTCAGGATCCTGTGCTCCAGCCCTTGTCTTGTTTTTTGAGACTGGGTCTCCCTATGTAGTTCAGGCTACTCTTCTTTTTCTTTTTTGGCAGAACCGGGGATTGAACTCATATCCTTGAGTTTGCCAGTCAAGCGCTTATCCTACTGAGCCATTTCCCCAGCCCCAAGTTCAGGCTACTCTTAAACTCACTGTGTATCCCAGGCTGGGCTTGAACCTGCCTTATCCTCCTGCCTTATCCTCCTGAGAATTCTAGGGTTACAGGATATTTACATTTTCTACTAATGGACCTTTGGGTTGTTCCCAAATTGAATCCCACTATAAGCATTTCCATACATTCCTCCTGGAGCCTTTGTTTCCTTTGGGTGTGTATACACCTAGGAAAGGAACTTATGGGTGGTAAGAAATTCAAATGTTAACTTTTACCAGATGATTGTGAACTGTTCCAATTAGTGGTCCCAGTTTCACTCCCAGAGGCTATAAATAGTCATTCTTTTTCTTTTCTCTTTTTCTTTTTTGAGACAGGGTCTCCTCACTGTGCAGTTCAGGCTGGCCTTGAGCTCACTTTGTAGCCCAGCCTGGTCTTAAACTCACAATGATCCTCCTACCTCAGCCTCCTGAATGCTGGGATTACAGAAGTGTGCCACCACACCCGGCTCTAAATGGTCATTCTGTATTCTGTATTCTTGCCCACAGACTAGCTTCTGTCAGTCTAGTGGCTGATGAGATATCGTTGTGGTCTCAGTCCCCATCCTTCTTCCACCTTAGGTTTTACTGGGACCTGATCATGCTGTTGTTGATGGTGGGAAACCTCATTGTACTGCCTGTGGGCATCACTTTCTTCAAAGAAGAGAACTCTCCTCCTTGGATTGTCTTCAATGTCCTCTCTGATACTTTCTTCCTACTGGATCTGGTGCTCAACTTCCGTACGGGCATTGTGGTAGAGGAGGGCGCTGAGATCCTGCTGGCACCTCGGGCCATCCGCACACGCTACCTGCGTACCTGGTTCCTGGTTGACTTCATCTCCTCCATCCCAGTGGACTACATCTTCCTGGTAGTGGAGCTGGAGCCCCGGCTGGATGCTGAGGTCTACAAAACAGCTCGGGCCCTGCGGATTGTTCGCTTCACCAAGATCCTCAGCCTGCTGCGGTTGCTCCGCCTCTCCCGCCTCATCAGATATATACACCAGTGGGAGGAGGTGGGGCAGGGAGGTGGGCAGGGGGCTCTCAGACCCCTCAAGGGCAGGCTGTGTGGGTGGGGCTCCTGGTGACATTATGGGGCAGGACAATGGGTGGGGCTTCCATGAGTGAGTTCATTCCAAAATTGGTGAGAAAGAAGCAGGGACTAAATGAAGGTCTGGACTATGAGGTCTTCAGCGGGGATGCAGGGCAAGAGGGTGGAGCCCAGCAGCTAGACAAGAGTTACAGTTAGTTGATGCTGGGTGGAAAAAAGGGTGCAGAGAAGGCTGGAGCTGCAGCTTCAAGCTAAAAGTTTAATGGTTCATGGTAGAGCCTCTCAAATCTCATGGCCTGTGGTCACAGCTCAGGTTTATTATTCACTAACATATGGGAGACTTGGTTTCCGCTTCGAAACTTTTTTTTTTTTGTACTGAGAATTGAACTCATGACCACATGTTTGTGAGGCAGGCACTATACCACTGTGCTATATCCCTAGCCCTGGTTTCGTCTTCTCTAAGATGAGAATGTTACCCTTTGGTTTTAAGAATTGAAGTAGTGGGCCAGGGAGATGGTTCAGTAGAATAAGCGCTTGCCTGGGAAGTGCAATGGCCTGAGTTCAATCCCCAGTTCTACCAAAAAAATAAAATAAAAAAGAACTGAAGTAGTGGCCAGTTGTCATGTTGCACACCTGTAATCCCAGTGCTCAGGAGGTTGAGGCAGGATTGTTCTGAATTTGAACAGCCTGGGCCACAAAGTAAGTTCAAGGCCAGCATGAACTCTGTAAGTCTCAAAAGACAGATTAAAAAAAGAACAGATGGGGCTGGTGAGATGGCTCAGTGGTCTAAAGCACCTACTAAGAACAAGCTTAGCAAAGCACAAGGACCACGGTTCAATCCCCCAGCACCACATGCCAGCCAGCCCCGCCCCCTGGTGGGCTGAGCTGGCCACACACACACACACACACACACACACACAAATAAATAAATAATTTAAAAAAAAGAACAGAAATTATATATATATATATATATATATATATATATATATATATATATATCAGAAAAGTTTCAGGGTGTGGTAGTGAATGCCTGTGATTCCAGCACTCTGTGAGGCTAAAACAAGAGGCTCAAAAGTTCAAACTCAGGCTGAGCAACTTAGTGCTTTAGCAAGACCATGTGTCAAAATAAAAAGTAAAAAAGGAATGGGATGTAGCTCAATGTGAAGATCCTGGACTCAATTTCCAATAACACATGTGCAGGTACACACACACACACACACACACACACACACACCCTCTGGAACATAGTAAATTCTTTTTTTTTGTGTGGTACTAGGGATCAAACTCAGGACTTGCCCTTGCCAGACAAGCACTTATTCCGCTGGGGGGGGGCTGAAAACAAGAGGATCACTATGATTCTGAGCTGTGTAGTGAGACCCTGTATCAAAAACATAGAAAAAAATAATCTATCAAATATGTCTACTGCACAAGTTGCTCAGGTATAGACTGGACAAGAGGAGAGGGGCATTTCACAGTGTAATGCCCCCATGGTATGTGTAAGGATTAATGACCATTCCTTTCCAACAATAATAACAGCTAATTTAAGAAGAATTTACTGTGGGGGCTGGGGAGATAGCTCAGTGGAATAAAGTGCCTGATTAGGCAAGCTCAGGCAAGCTCAGGGACTGCAGTTTGATCTCTGACACCTCATGCCATAACATCCCCACCCCCCAGGGCAGACTGAGCAATAAATAAATAAATAAATTTTTTTAAATGGGCTGAGGAGGGGCCGGGGAGATGGCTCAGTGGAATAAGCGCTTACCTGGCAAGTGCAAGGGCCTGAGTTCAATCCCCGGTTCCACAAAAAAAAAGTGGGGGGGGGGCTGAGGATGTAGCTCAGCAGTAGAGGGTTTGCCAGGCATATGCAACATGTGCAAGGCCTGGAACTCAATCTCTATCACCACCCACCCATACATACAGTGGGATTAATAGAACAACCTACCTTGGATTAGCCACATATGCATGCTATAAAATTATACAAATAAATCTAATCGGGGCTGGAGAGATGGCTCAGTGGTCTAAAGCACCTACTTAGAACAAGCTTAGCAAAGCACAGTGGACCGCGGTTCAATCCCCCAGCACCACATGCCAGCCAGCCCCGCCCCCTGGTGGGCTGAGCTGGACACACACACACACACACACACACACACACA